GGGGCCTGGTTCTCCGGCATGTACGAGTATAACGGCTTGTCAGTGATGAATATATCACCTAAAAGAAGGAAAAATTAAGACAGCTGGAAATCTGCTTCTCGTCTGAATGTTTTTAAGTAACTGATCCGACTCATTTGGAGTTATTCCTTATGCACTGATCTTGCCTAGTCATGTCACTTCTAGACAGGTGGCACTTTATTACAAAGGAAGATATTCATAACTTACGGTTAGTTCTTTATGTTCTCACTGGCTTTATCAAAGACTGGATAGCAGTATTGCACGAGATTATGTGTGGCATATCCTTGAGTGAAAGTGTGCTGAGATTGTTAGAATTTTAAAACCAAATTACTCTTAGTTTTGGTTGGACCTCGTTCTCGCAACTTGGTCGGAGCGTCAGGGAGACCTTGTTCAGCGTAGCTAATCCTGTGTCTGCCATATTATCCGTGATTTCCAGCAGCCGACCATTGACTTAGTACACCTCCAGACGTTTTGTCGGCATCGTCGATGAGAAGTGCCATCATCAGCACGGAGTTACAACTTATCACAGTGACAAGTAGAGGCGATTCCCTTGCCCAATTTTCTATTCAATATCTGGGGCATCACTCCCCGTCCCTATTTTTTTTCTACATTCTAGTGCTGCATCTCTTTCTCTCAATCCTACTTCATATGGCCCATTTGCCTATTTGCACAGTTATGTGCTCTCGTTTCCTCCAGTTTCGCCTAAAAGTGTATCGCAACAAGTGGGTTTATTGAAATTTAATAACCTCCACCACCGGTACCAGGTGCTATTTGCAGGGCTCCAGACCTTCATTCAGCCCTCTTCTCGTATCTTGCTTGTCAAATTATCACTGCTAAGAATCACAATTACATAGAAGTTGTTTGACCATGTTTTCGCAACTTGGTCATAATGATAGGAAGACTTATAGAAACGCACCTTGTCCTAAGTCCATTGTATGCATAATTATTTCCAAAGTCGGACCGTGGATGCGGTACATTCCCAGACATCGTAGTCGGCATCGTCAGTGAGTTTTACCATTCGTAGCACTATATTACACCTCGTCAAAGAGACAAGTGAAGCCGATCCTTTGACCAAACGTGTGCTAAACACTTATGGTATCTCCCCTTCTGCCCGCGTATACGGTCCGACTTTGGAAATAATTATGCATACAATGGACTCGGGACAAGGTGCGTTTCTATAAGTCTTCCTACCATTATGACCAAGTTGTGAAAACAAGGTCAAACAACTTGTATACAACGAAAGAAGACTGCGACCACACAAAAGGCCATACCATCTTGGTCTTCATATCTTCAATCACAATTACAGTCTGTCTGAAATTTGCCTGTCTAAGAGGCTTCAATTCCTGTCTACGATTACTCCATATTCGAGGATTTAGAGCAGATGGTGCCCATGTAATACTTGGAAATCTTCCTCTTACTAGGCTTCAAACCCATGACTCGGTTATCTTCTTTCTCATCCTCCAGTTACCACACTCATTGCCCCATTTATGGGACATTTCCCTGCCTTCGGGCCTGCAGACAGTCAGTCCTACGATGTAGGCCATGAAAATCGGCTCAGGCCAGATCAGCGAATCAATGAGTACTCAGAACAAGTGAGGCGATTGACTTCTTTCACGAACTCTCGCGTTTGCATTCGTACACGCACACGCACATCCACACACCACCTGGCGAGTTCAAATCTTCACGTTCACCTGCACCCGCATACAGACATTATCGCGTATGTACACGTACGCAGGCGCTCATGTGTGTGCGACCCACTTTTCGTCTCATTAGGCCCTACGCATTTACTGGCTTCAGGTGGCCCAATCGATACGGGACTTCCTTGGGCCGCCGGGCCTGCTGGATAACAGTATTCACGGTCAGTGATCTTCAAGT